TCTCCTCTCTCTCTCTCTCTCTCTCTCTCTCTCTCTCTCTCTCTCTCTTTCTCTCTCGCTGTCTCTCTCTCACACACACGCGCGCGGGCGACAGCGGGACCCGCCGCGCCTCCCGCCGTGTGCAACGGAGACGGAGCGAGGTCACTTCTCAGACGGCCCCCTCAGCACCGTAAACGGAGAAGGGTTTGCACAAGGGGGCGCTCCCGACGTTTTCGAAACAATTGCCGTCTGGGAACAGCGAATCACTTTTTTGGTTTTGGGGTAATGTTCATTATCCACGTAAGGCGGACTTTTAACAGAATATCTTTTTTTGCCGTGTGCTTTCCCAGGGCGACGTCAGTCACCGTCGCGTTCGCAGACAGAACGGTGAGGTCGTGGAGAGCATCTTCCAGGTTAGACGGCGAGAATATACATGTTGGAAATTTCGATGACTCAATTTTTGTACAGGATGTCCTGTAGGCCCCGTAATTTTTATTTTAGTTATGTAGTCCATGCAGGCGTCCGGGCGGGTCCCTGTACAATCGTTCACCATGGCACCTGTTGTAGGTAGCCTATCATCCAGAAAGTACGCCCGTCATTCGCCATAACAAACCTGCCATGTGTAGTCTCTGCTAGCTCTCATAGCGCCTGGTAGGTAGGCAAAATCGTGCCTGCAGTGCAATCGTGTACTGCGGGGTGGCCTACCCAGAGTCTCGCAGGCGCTGAGCTCCCGTAATTGACAGAGCAAATCTGAGAAGAACGAACGTACTTTATGGACGGTCACCTGTGGCCACAAAGCGAGAAAGAAAACCCGCCATCGACTATACGCCTGCAAGCGGTACAGTGTAACTACAATCAAGTAGGGGGCTTTATGGGGCACCTTGTATAAACAAATTCATACGTCACACTCACGAAATCGCACAGATTACTTTTCTGCAATCAATCCTGCTGGCCTGCGCGTCGGTCCGTAGGCCTTGAATACTGGCTCAGTTTCTCTCGCCACTTCCAGATCCCCATCCAGACGCTGATGGCCGTGTCCAAGGTGTTCACGACGGGCATCCAGAGCATCCGGAGGACGGGTGAGCAGTTCTTCCAGGCGACGCGGCCGACCGGGACTAGCAGTCTGACGTCGTCTAGCGCGGGCAGCTACGGCACAGCGCTGCAGCAGCAGTACCAGCAGTACCAGCAGCAGTATCAGCAGTACCGCCCGCCTAAGCCCTACCGACCCAGGTCAATGCAAATACCTTCTCATTTTTGTCCTAAAATTACGACTACTTTTATCTTCTCGTGAAATGGACATTTTTACCTTACGATGTTTTATTCCCTGAAAATTTTCTCGTTTTGCTCCAACACCAGACCCTCCGCGGGGACCTACTCCTCATCGGCGCACTCGTCCGCCTACGCAGCCCTGACCCGTCCCAACTACAACTACATCTACAGCAACTACGTCTACCCGCGCGGGGGCGCCGCGTCCTCCTCGACGGGGACCTCCAAGTCGCACGCCGCCAACGTGGCAGGCGTCGGCACGCAGGCCGACGGCTCGAGCTACCGCATCTAGGGAGGCGCCAGAGCTCAGCGCACAGCTATTTATTACACTCCATCAATCTCATCAGTTTCATCGTCATACAAACGTCTCATCTTCAAATCTTTTTTCGTGGCGGTGTACGCTGGCGGTCTGTTAGGGTCGGGGGTGGTTGATTGGCAGGTGTGCCTTATGGACGTCTGTGTCAATGAACTGTCGAGGACCTACGCCAGCCTAGAACTTGAACCTAGACAGGGGAGGCAGGCCTTACACTAGAGTGCATTTCCTGCACAGACCAGTTGTGCACTCCCCGTGCCCTGAGCTGAACCCGTCGCATCCGCGGATTCCTACACAAACATACCATTCGTTTCAAAAATAAGCTTCACAGTCATTCATTCACTTTTATTTATTGTCACTAGCATTGTAAAGAATCGCATTTATCTTTGTCTGTGTTATTTAGTAAATAATTTCAACTGTGGTAAAATAAAAATAAAGAAATGTATTCCACGTTCATCCGTGACAGGCCATGCATTTTTTTAAAAATCCGAAACATATGTGTCGATATAATAAATTTGACCATCCCAACACATCACACATTTTTACCAGTGCAGTTCTGAGAATGTGAGAAGAGCAGAGGAGGGTTATATACGTGACACTGACACGCTCGGTGTCAGCGCTGGACAAGGGCAAGGCAGGGTGGTCCCCCGTGAGAAGGCCTGTGTCTTTGCAGCATGCACATACTGGAGCTTATAGCTACGCCATACCAAACGTTGCTGCCGGCTCCCAGCCGCCAGGCCCGGGCCAAAGCCATCACAGCCCACCTGCCATATAATCAAGAAACGGAATAAACGAAAATGACGCCGGCCCGCGAGCCGGGTGACGTCACTGAGCCGCAAGAACGTGAGAGGGGGGAGGCGCCCCCACGGCGAGCGTCCGCGGGGCCCACGAGGGAGGCCCTGCACCTGCACCCTGCACTGGGCGCGCAGGGCGGGCCGCCGGCTCCACACGGCCGCTTGGCGGGTCGGCCTACCCCGGTGCGTTGCAGGCGCTCATCCCTAGCGTAACTCAAAGCCGCCAGAACCATGCACTGGACTTGGTGCGGCATGGATCACACTCTGAAGAAATCATGTTAGGAAGTTGGATCGGTCGATCGGTCGCACTGTCACATTATTGTTATTATTATTGGGGAGCGCTGGCTCGGTGCGCCACCTGTGCGCGGGACACCCGGCGGGACACCTGCGATCTCATCAGCCCTCTCCTCCTCCTCACCCCGCGGCCGCCCTATAAGAGCCGCCACCCCCGCCGCACGCCCGCCACACGCACGCTATCGCCAGCACCATGCGAGTCCTCCTCGTCGCCGTCCTCGCCCTCGGCGCCGCCCTGGCCAAGCCGCCGCCCGCCTTCGGCCCCCCAGCCGCCGCCCCGTGGGCCGCATACGCCGCAGCAAAGCCGGGTAAGCCGGGTGAGTCGATAAAGCGACCGTTGAGGGCGGGATCCGAGGGGTGCGTCACTTTGTCTGCTCCTACCAAATCATTTTTTACAGTCATATCCGGTTAGTTTCCAGTCATTCATGTGTGTCACATCCAGTAATTTCTCAGTCCCATTCAGTCGTTTTTTCAAATGAAATCCGGTCCGATCCACTCACATCTGGTGACTTCAAGTCGGAGTTTGCTCATTTCCGCAGTGACGCACCCCTCGGCGAGACCTTCCGCGGCACGCTGTTGAGACTCGAGACTCGTTTCTTCCGAATCCGCAGGCCCTGTGTTCAGCCGCTCGCTGGTCGGTCTGGGCGGGGTGGGGGCCCCTGACACATCAGCCCCAGAGGATGAGTTCCCATCGTCTGGCATGGGCACGGGACCCTTGGGGTCCATGGGGCCCATGGGGCCCATGTCACCCTTCATGAAGATCAAGCCGTTCCTGCCCACCAAGCCCACGTTCATGCCGCCCGTCGTGGACCCATCCAAGTTCATCGACATGAAGGCCAGCCTGCTCAACAGCCTGTTCCCCGGGGGCTTCCCTCCGGCGGGCCCCGCGGGGCTGGCCGGCGCCGCCCCCGCCGCCTACAGCGGGCTCGCCGCACGGGCCCTCAGCCCCTTCGCTGCCCCCGCCGGCCCATTCGCACCCGCCTCCCCCGTGGCCAAGCCGCCGCCCCCGGCCTTCCTGGCCGACCTGTTCAAGGCCCTGAGCATCAACAAGACGGTGGCGGATCCCGCCGCCCCCGCCGCGGCCTTCCCCGGAGCGTACCCGGGCGGTGCGCCCGTGCCGCCGGTGGTCGACCCTGGCGTCTTCATCTCCAAGAAGGCTAAGTTCCTGAGTGACCTGTTCGCCGGGATGGCCACGACCACCCCGGCACCCGAGCCCGCGTCCCCCGATCCCGCTGCCGTCAACGCCCAGCTCGCCGCCTCCCTGCAGAAGCTGCTCGACGCGCTGGCCACCCCCCAGGACGTCTCCGAGGACGAGCCGGCGCCCGTCGGCAAGGGTAAGTCCCGGACCTCTGGCTGTCTCCGCACGCTCGACCCGCCTCAGGGAATCACTGACTGTTGCAGCGAGGCGCGCGGCCGACACGGCGCTGCTGGTGGCGGACGCCAAGGACAAGGTGGTGGACACCATCATCGCCCAGCTCGCCGAGCTCAAGGACGGCATGGTGGGTGCCGTCAGCGACCTCGCAGCGGCCCAGAAGGCCGCGGATGCCGCCGTAGCCGCCGCCACCCCCGCACCCTCCAAGAAGCCGCTGTCCCCCTACGCGGCGATGTGGGCCAAGCCGACCCCGGGGGCCACCGCCGCCCCCACCAGGCCTCCCGTCGCCGTCGAGCCGGTGCGCCAGAAGGTGGTGCTCCTCGGGCAGGTGTTCGACATGCTCACCGAGATAGAGAAGAACATCACCGACGCGATGGTGAGTGGGGGTGGGGGACGCCCAACATGACCAACATTCACGGTTCCTGCACTTAATGGCTATTCGCTATTCTGACAGACGGTCCCCGCCCAGCCCGAGGCCTTCGCCGAGGAGACCACAACAGCCACCCCGGACCTGATGGACATGGTGAAGGCCAAGATCAACCAGGTGATTGCCCAGACTAACGGTAGCAGCCCGCCGGCACCCCTCAACAGGACGGCGCCCGTCTTCACGTCTGCAGCGAAGAGTCTGAGGCTGGCAGGCGAGGCCCCCGCGCCCGCTGCTGGCCCCGCCGTGGACCCCACTTTCTGGATCCCGGACTCTGCTATCGTGGGCCCAGATGCCTACCTCGCTAAGACTAAAGCCTTCCTATCCACCGTGAGTACCCCCCCCCC